TTCACTGTAGAATTAATATGCATAAATAACCAGTGAATAAAAATGTGTAAATTCTTATTCCAAACAAAACTATCCGACACTTATTTGCTTAAATTCACTGCTAGGCTGACATGCACATGACATGTTTCACAACCTTTCTTTAATAGATTCTTTATATGTAAACAGTTGATTACATTCTTGAAGATAAACAACATGTTATCAACAGCGTTAATCATAAACATAAAAATGGGCAACATAATAATTCTGTTTTGATTAGAAACCTTAACAAAAGTAGCTGTTGGTTAGGAGCAAAAAAAAGAAATACACCATTAGCTTTATCTATTGTTAATATCAAAGTAGCTAATGGAATGGGACTACGAAATGATTTATAAAACATGCAACTTCAGCCTATCCATACATGTACAACTGCACCCTTTGCCGCTTGCTAACAGTACTTCTCTTTTGTTTCCCCTTTATAATTTAAGAGGGATGAAGCAGCACTTCGGGATCTGCCTTATAATCCATTTTTTGAAAATGATTCAAGCATAGAAAAGACCTTTTGCTGGAATTTCATGCCTTGCATCTCCCTTGTTCCAACAACAGCTACCTATTTTCTTGTGTTTGGGAAACCACAGGAAGGTCCTCCCTGTCCTTTAACATTATTTATATGTAACTATATACATCATTTTATAAATTAAAACTTTGGCTTTCTATTGGTTATAAATAATAAAGCATAAAACATCAGAGAGAACTATTCACAATTTATGAATAAGGATGAGACAAGTGGACATAGCTAGTTGGTCCGATTTTCTAGGATATGGTTCCATATACAAACAAGATTGAAGGCTATAAAAATTACTTTGCCTAAGTAATATCTATATTATAATGAATAATATACGTTAAATTCAGTACCTCTTGAAGGGGTGGTAAGTAAATTAGAAAAGAGAGAAGACCTAGAGAGTAAATGTCACAATTCTCATACTAAGGGGGATTGAGGATATTTTTTAAATTCCCTTATAAAATTAATAATTTAGAAAACTTATATAATATTAAAATTTGAATAACTCTCTCAATATGGGTTCAGTCAGTGACCTTTTTGTACTGGTTTAAAATCTAAATAGATTTAATACTTAACTCAATATAGTGTGTAGCTTCACAAAATTTGGCAGTCTCTCACTTAACATTACAAGTCTTATACCTACAAAAAATCTTATTTTTAGTAGAAGTATTTTTTAATAAAATAAAATAAAGATTTGTCCATGACTATATTGAGTATTTGTTTTGAATAGTCCATGTGCAGTTAGTTTAATGTTAAAATTAAAAATAGTTTTCCTCATCTCAAATTTCCTATATGTAATCCCTAAAGCCTCCTAAATGCATTTAAAACGCTTTTTTTTTTCACTACAACTTTATAGTTATCTGTTATTTTCTCTACCCTACCTCAAAACAGAAGTGGTCAGTTCAATTGACTTCATAACCAAAAACGCTAATCTTAAATAAGTTAAAGAGATCCATATTTTTAGACTTTAGTTACTTTTATAATAATAAATAAAGTATATATATGAAAAAAACAAGAAATAAAGTACTTACCCAGTCTTCTTTTTTGTTGCTCTCTTAATTGTCGATGACAGTTAAGCCTAATCTTTTTTTTTTATAGTACTAATAGTACTGCACTTAACTTTTATTTACTTAAATAATGCACGAAAGAATACAGACTAATAATATGAAAAAAGTAGACAAATTGCTTTATCTCTCAAAATGTTTCTGGCTTTTTAACTATGGACAAGAGCCATTAGAAATTCATCCAAGCTAGTTGTTAACTTTCCCATGGGAACGAAGGTTGTACTCTGAGTGCAACTGATGATTTTCTGTTCAGAACACAATGATTTTCTATTGGTTATAGATAATATATAATGAAACATGAGAGAACTATCAATGAATTATGAAAGAGAGAGGATGGGAGAGGTGGGTGTGGCAGGAGTGGTCTGATTTTCTATTTGATAGCTCTGTAACCAAAT